CTGTAATGTCTGCAATCGTATTTTTAATGGACTTCGGTGCACAAAACTGAACTAATCTTTATAATACTTTATTCATTCATACTATCCTTATTGGTCCATGCTTGGGTCTTAATTATTTTTTTTCAATCATTTATTTTAGTGATCTGATAAACACCCTTGAATCTACATCTGACCCAAGAATAAGAACACTAATGGTAATTTACCTCTATTCATGTGTTCCTTCCCTACATTGTCACAAATTAAAATAATGTACCAGCCCTCTCCTGTAGTTAATTTTCATAAGAGGCTATTAAGACTGGCTTCAACTGTCCTGTCCATAATCTCTTGAAATAACAAAATAAATAATTTTATCTAGGTGATTAAGAAAAGTCCTTCCCTACCTCCCCTTACAACAGGCCAACCCCACCCGCAATCATTTCCTTGTTCTTTTTTAGTTTTATTGTATATATATGGAAACCTTAAAATATATTGTTTATTTTGATTATATTTAAATTTTAATAAAAGGACTTGCTTTTTTAGCTTAACATTATTTTGCCAAGATTCATCCATACTGTTGCTACTGTATCACCGGAGGTCATCCATTTTCACAGCTCTATGAATTCCGTTGTGTGAATGGGCCACAATTTATCCACTCTTCTTTTGAGAGCCTTTCGTGTGGTGTCCAGTCTTTTGCTATTGTTACTAAGTGCTACTGTTGCTACTTAGCGCCACTAAGAACAGTCTTGGACACTTCTTTTGGTGTCCATCTATAAAAATATTTCTGAGGTTTATATATCTAGGAATGGAAAGAGCTGGGCCCATTTTACAGATATGGAAACTGAGGCTCAGAGAGGTTAAGGAAACTGTTCAAGATCACACAACAAGTAAATAACCAGATCCAGGATTTGAATCCGTAACTGCCATGAAGAACTGGGGGAGAGGGGATGTAGGGGGCAATTGGAATAACAAGGAACCTTACATTTTATCATCTTATCTTGAGACTAGAACTTATAATTACTGGATGTTTTCAGTACTTTGCATACCTGTCCTCATGGCTTTGGCCTGTGCTGGGCTTGGGAAGCTCCAGAGGTTGGAAGAACCTCCAGCCAGTCCTGGTTCTAGATGAAGTCACTTGCCCTTTAATCCCCAGAGCTGGCTGCTTAGTTACTGCAGTGGCAAAGCTTTCTGGGTTTCAGAAGCAGCCCGTTCCCAGGGTACCTCCTCCCTCCTACTACATAAGGTGCTCCCAGACTCTGCCCCTGCCCAGTGCCATCCTCCCCCAGGGCCACACAACCCCGCCAGAGCCTCCCCTGTCCTTCCTGATGGGCAGCCTCAATCCTCCGCCGCCCTGGCCCCGCCTGCCCCCTCCACCCCAGGCATACACACTACAGTGAGGCCACCCACAGAGCTATTTAATCATCCTGAGTGCAAGGCCACACCACAGGCAGAGGCGACAGGAAGGGAAAACAGGACCTGCATCTGTGCTCTGATGTCAGTGATGGGGCAGATGGGCATTCAAATAAAAATGAGAATTACCAGGCAAATACGCCCTTGGCAGAGCAGCTGTTCACTGGCCTCAGGCTTACAGGATTCCCAGATCTGTGTATATTTAAGTAATGGCAGGGCCTATAAAACCCCTCCCCAGAGGGCCCCCGGGTGCAGATCCTGTTCCTCTGGACAGAGGCCTCACTCCATCCCAAGGCCACAGACCTGCCCTCACCCACGCCTTCACCTTCTAATGGAATTTGCAATCCGTTTTAAGGGAGATTGGAATTGGAAAAACTAATATCGAAGCCCTATAGGTAGAGGGTCAGGGATATCTATGCACAGGAAGGACAGCCCCGTGTTACCTTGGATCATCGGGGAGCATCCAGGCGTTCACTGTGCATCAGATAAGAGCCCTAGAAGACAGCAGAGACTGCCTTCCAAGAAGGTTCAGACTTGACTCTTGCCCTTGCTTATACTCTGGGTTAAAAGAGGAAGAAAATGAATGACAGATGAAAAGTTAAATAAATGGCTTAGCACTCCCATAGAAGAAGTGACCTAGAGAGGTCTTTTCTTCCGGAAGGCAAAGCCCAGACCCAGGAAGTGATGGAAGGCCACGGCCAAGAGCTCGGTGCTCATCGGACGCATTCGGTCTGCAATCCCACACCACCATTCACCTGGAGACATGGCAATAACCCCTGAGGCCCACATGTACCTTTCTGTAACATGGGACAATAATGCCTATTCCCTCGGGCTGTGGTGAGGATTGAACAATAGGATGCTTGTAAGTTCCAGTTATAAAGTAAGTCAGTCCCAGAGATGTCCGGTGCAGCAGGGTGACTATAATTAACAGTACTGTACTCTGTGTCTGAAAGTTGCTAAGAGAGTAGATCTTAAAAGTTCTCATCACAAGAAGAGAAACTTGTCACTGTGTGAGGTGATGCATGTTAACTAGACTTCCTGCGGTGACCATTTTGCAATATATACGAATAGCAAATCATGAACTAATAAAATGTTAGATGTCAATAATATCTCAATTAAAAAAAACAAAAGCAAAAACAGGGATAGCCTTGCCTCGTGATGATGAGGGGGGGAAATGAAAGTGTTTGTAGAACATGGGCTTATAGTATGCACTTCACAAATAGCAGTGATGCTTCCATCAAGAACTGCAGGCCCCCATCAAGTTCTCTGCTCGAATTCGACGATTATCAGACGTGTTCTATTTCCTCACCTTGTCTGTTTCTTTCCTCCCTTTCTTGATTGGTTGTGGATGTGTATATATAGCATTTTTTCCTACAGCTTTGAAGAGTATCTCCCTGCTCCCCTATCCCTGCCAAGCCCCCCTCCACCAACTCCCCCCAACCACCACTCCCCCAAAGGTGGGGCCTGGGAGGGTAAGCTGGACTGGTCCCTGTGGAAGGGCAAGGGCAGTAGGCCGAAGCCCCCGAATCTCTCCACAGCAGCCCAGCCCGACCGGCCTCTGCCTGGCCTGCAACTCGCCTGTCTGGCTCCGGGACAGATGCTTCCCCGGGGACAGGGAAGTGGAAGCAGGGGCAGGTGCTACCAAGACAAAAAAAGCCTGGCAGACAGGCCAGCTGCCAGGGTGTGGAGGGGGCCCTGTGTGTGGGACCTGAGGTGGGGCAGAGTGGGACACGGGACAAGCACCCGGGCCGCGGCACCCCGCTCACAGCTCACCTCCCAAAGCTAATGGCCCAGGCAGGCCGTGCTGAACGCATCCTTTATTCTAGAGGCCAGGCTCCCTCGCTCCTCAAAAGAGGGCTTAACCCAGGCTGGTGAGCAGGTGGCCAACAGCTGCTCCCTCGACAGAGCAAGACTGTCTCCGTGGCTACAAAGCAGGCCCAGATGCCACCCCTCTGCGTGAGAATGTTTCCTCCTGGCTGAGACAAGTCCCTCAGCAAAGCTGCCTGAAAAGGGCCATTTGCCAGGGGGAGGGGCTGAGTCTCTCAGCTCCCCTGGCTGCCCACAGGCACTACCTCCCCTCTTCTCTTGCAAGACCCCCTTTCTCCTAGCAACTGCCAGCCCTGAGTCAGGAAAGCGAACCACTATATTCTCCTGGGTAATTGCTGTCTATTCATCTCCCCAGGACTCAACTCCCTTTCTCCCCTCCATGCAGGGAGAGGAAGTTTGCCCTACTCAGCACTCTACTGTCTGGGGGATTCTGTGATTTGAATGTGATTATGATGCAGAAGGTCCTAGAAGCTCCTTTCCTAGCTCCTCACCTCTTCCTTGCCATTTCTCGGGAGCCGCTGCCAAACTAGGTCCTGCAAAGTTGTGGATTTAAATCATCCTCATTATTGGTTACAACTGACCTGAGAAAGCACCTACTGGAAAACCCTGACCATTTCATTTTTAAAGCATGGGATTAAGATAACTTCCCTTAACATCCCGGCAAACATAACACACTGCCATTCTGTATTCGAGGCGGGCTCCGTTTGACCTACTCCAGAGCCACTTAGTACTCTGCACCTTGTGTGAGAATGACCACCATCAGTTATGTTCCCCGTGTTTCTCCAAAGGCTACAAGTCAAAAGTCTAATTCTGGCTCCAGCATAAACTAGGTCAGAGCATACCAAAAGTGCCGAGCAGTTGATCTGGTTTTGCAAGACACAGGATTTTGTTTTTAGACTCTGCCAATTCAAAGTTCAGTTAATTTGTTTGCATTTTGTGTGTCTCATTGGAAAGCCTGAATGACAAGTGAGAGTGATCCCTGTTCTATTTAGGTCATAGGGCATGTAAGGAGGGGTCCTAATACCCTGGCTAGGGCAGAGCACCCTGCTGAATGAAAGGCACCTTGTTTTGGTTCTAGTGACAGAGGTCCTGTTTTTCAAATGAAGCTTACATTCGACCTACCGTGATACACTTGCCAACCGCCCCAGGACAGGCTCTGGGATGTCTGCAAACCAGAGTCTGGATCTCCACTAGTTGTGGCTACTATTTTGGGGACACCTACACAGACCAGCTCCTGCCCGGGTGCTTTGCCCAGCTCCTCCCCAATCCTCACAGCCGCCTTGCCTGGAAATGTGGGAACTATTATCCCTCTTTTGCTAATAGGAAACCTGAGACTAGGAGAGGCCAAGTTCCTTCCCCAGGGTCACACACCCAGAATACGTAACAGTTTCAGGATTCAGTCTCACGCATCCGAACCCCCATGTTCTTTCCTGTCACGTGTTTAAGAGGAGAGCCCCTGCCCCTTTGGGTGCCTGCAAGACGGGGCTTAGTGCCTGAGGAGATGGGGCTATTTCTCCCTCCGCGGGAAGGGCATGCCTGGAGCCCGTAGCCCGTGGATGTGCTTGCCCCCTGCAGCTGCGGGAGACAGAGACCACACTTGTCCGGGTTTGGGGGCGGGGCCGTGACTCAGCCTCCCTTGGAAGAACGTGCCGAGCGAGATGGCAGTGGACTGATCTCCGTCGTAATGGAGAGAGAATACAAGAGCGGGGCAGAAACAAAACAAACTAGCGCAACGGCTCCGGAGCTGGGGAACGCCCAGCTCGGGAAGAGTTCGGGCCGATAATCGGCTAATCCAATTTCCAGCCGGCTTTGCAGTGCGTGTCAGCCACCATCATTCTCCACCAGGCCTTCAGCTTCTCCAGGAGCCTGGATTTTTGAGCGAGCAAAAGATAAAGAACTGACCCCCATTTCCACAGCCTCCCTTCACCTCTACCTCGGCCTGCGTTGGCACTGACATGCATCCTTCCCACTCCAGGGGCAGCGCAGCTCCAGCGCCTCCTCCCCTCCCCGGCACCTATAAACTCCACCCCAGCCCTGCGTTCCTTTCTAGTCCACAGCAAAGCAGGGGCTGGGGGCACCCGTTCTGGATTCGCAGAGCTGGGCTTCTAAATCCTATTCTGCCACCCACAGGTTGCATGCCCTTGCCTATGGTGCTTGAGCTCTCCTGCTTCAGTTTCTTCATCTATATAGGGGGATAATAACCCCAAAACGGTATCTACCTATTATGGGCTGAACTATGTCTCCCCGAGATTCGTATGTTGACACCCTAAGCCCCCATATTTCAGAATGTGACTCAATTGGGAGATAGGCCTTCAGAGAGGTGGTTAAATTAAAATGAGGCTGTTGGGGTAAGCCCGAATCCAAACTGACAGGTGTTTTAACAAGAAGAAGAGAACAAGGGGGCAAGGTCACAGGGGAAAGGCCATGTGAGGACACAGCAAGAAGGTGGCCTTCTACAAGCAAAGGAGAGAGGCCTCAGAAGAACTTAATCTTGCCTGCACCTTGATCTTGGACTGCAGAGTGGGGATGGAATACACGTCTGTTGTTTAAGCTGCTGTATTTGTGATGGGAGGCCTAGCAAATCAATACCCTACCTCAAAGCATTGTTGTGGGGTTTCGACTAGATGGAGCATCTAAATTGCTCTACAAAGTGCCTGGCTCCTAAGTGTCTTCAATTAGGATGGCCACTTCTATTAGTATGGCCTCACTTTCTGTAGCACTCATTTGGTAAGCCTTGTGCCAAAGTTGTGAAGGGTTGAGTTCCTGGGAGATCCAAGTAAGTTCTCCGAGGGCCCTGGTGGTAGATTTCTGGCCTCCGTCTCCAGCCTACCCAAGTGCCTCATCTATAAGGGCTGTTCAAAAACATTTGTAGATATAATATTCTTGGATTTCAAGAAATATCTAGGGACTGGAGTAGGGAACAAAGCAGACAGTCTTCGGGACATTGATGGTTTAGCGGGGAAGGAGGAGACACTGATCATGTAACATCACTTGCTTTGAGTGGTGTCCTTTTGCTTCCACCAAGAAGCAAGTGAGCTCTGAATGGAGGTGCTCCTTTGAGTCCCGGTGAGCCCGGTGAGAGAGAGACAGCAGCTTGCACCTGCTCTGTGCCCACTATGTACATTGTCAGCACAACAGCCCCAACTGGTTGACTCTGTTCTTATTTTAGTTTTTCAGATGAGAAAACTGAGGCACAGGGAAATAACTTCCCTAGGCTCAGACCACGTGTAAGAGTTAACAGCTGGGATTCAAACTCGGGCAGTCTAGCATCAGAGCCCAAATTAGCAGGAAGAGCGTGCTGATGGAACCACAAAGACAGTTCTCGCAGGCTTATGGTTTTCTGTTTCCGTGGCCGGGCACGCAGCCACTGTGATGTGGGGCAGGGACCTGGTCTCCCCTCTGTGTTCTGGAATCAGTCGTGGACAGGGGAGGCAGCACCCACTGACGGGTACCCACACTTTCCTTCTAGCCTTCAGAATGGCTTTGTCCCATACCTCCTGGACAGGGGACAAGGACAGACCTCAACTAAGAAATGCAACCACAGGAGGGAGTTCTATCAATGACTCCTCTTCTGTTTTCCTCTGGCCACTTTGTTGATGTAGACAATAGGACCAGAAGGGATTTTGCTTGTTTTTCCCACATTTACCACGTGTTAATGAGATGCTCAGCATAGTGTTAAGTGTTTTCCTCTGAAAGAGGCTTTGTTAAGGCCTCGGAGACAGATCTTGGATCCAAAGGGTTCCAGACCAAGCAAACACCGCAGGGAGGGAGTAGAAATCCAGTGAGGGGCATTCAAAACCTGTCCCACAGAGGAAAAGGTCAGGGGCTAGAGAGAATTTGTGAGGGTTTTTGGAGAGAGCTTTTAGCATAGGGTGAGTCCAGCCCCCCTCCCATGGGGCTAGGGGCCTGCCTCTCACCTCACCCCCAGGGAGAGCGGGTACAGTGGGTCCCTCGGAAAGGGAGGCTTGGAAACCTGACCCCAGCCTGGAAAATCAAAACCATGAGCTATGGGCTGGCTGGGGGCCCTGGCTGCAGAACACAGACAGAGCAGCTGCCGTCTTGTAATTCTAGGGCGAGGAAGACCCAGATGCTTCCAATGGGTCAGCTGTGGAGCTCTGAGATGAAGAGACTGGCATGGGGTCATCTGAGGAGCTCTCCAAAAGGGACAAATAGATGACAGCAGCGAGAAGTTCGGGCATTTCCCAGGCCAGGGCAAGCCACCAGCCAGAGTAGGAAGGCATTCAGCCTGTTTGGGGGGAGCTGGGGTAAGAGGAGACAGTATCTATCTCCAATGAACCCAGGAAGGACCCGGCTGAGTTCTCCCAGGCCCAGAGAGCCTGAGGCCTATCCCAGAAGGCATGCATGTCAGGTGGGACCCCCTTGCTCCCTTCCCTCTCCTCCTTCTCCGCTCTTCTCAGTCTTGGAGGGGACAGAAACCCAAGTGGCAATAGGGGTGGGGGGGGCGTAGAAGGGGGAGTCTGGAAAGAGAGGAACCAGTCACCCGCCCTCCCCAACAACAGTGTCCTGTCTGCACCAGCCCAGGCTGCTGCCACTCATACCCCAGTCCACCAAACTGGAATTTGGAAGCCGTCCTTTGCGTTACAGAAGGCTTTTTCACTTAACCCAAAGCATTCACCTTTGAAGAAACATCAGCTTTCCTTTAAAGATAGACCTTCTCTGGTGCATTTTAATTATTTGGATCATTAAGATTATTATTAAGATTTTATATATCTCTATCTCATCCCCGTACCTGACAAACGAGCTTTGATGAGCAGACACTACACTGTATTCTCCTTCAGCCCTCTCCACGGGACCCGATCACCAAAGACACTCAAAGATTTGATGACTAAAGCGCACTTTTCAGGGACACGCTGACTGTTAAAAGTGAAGTGCAGTCATAAGCAGGATCAACCCACTCCCTTTTCAGATTGCTCCAGCTGAACAAATATATAAACCATCCCTCAGCCTTTTCTCCCCCTGCATTTCAAGCAGTAGGTGGTACTAATAAAAACACCACCTCATATTTGTATAGCACTTGCCAGTTCCAAAGCCACCCTCATTGCCCAAAGTCACTCTCCCAACCCTTGCCACCCCGATTCCACCCACGTGGCTGCCTTTCCCGATGGCCCGCCCTGCGCCAGTCCTTGCCTGGTAAGGCCACGTGCCCCCCTGGGGGGAGGCCATGTGTTATGTGAAGCGTCTCCTCATAAAGAGTCAGCTGGCCAGAAATGTGGGCAGAGAGCGAAGGGCAGCGTGTTCAGGTTCTGTTTATTATGTTCTCACAGCCTTGTTTATAGTAAAGGTGAATGACATTATTCCACTTTGCACAGTAATGAAACAACTCAATGAGGACCCCACCAGCCAAGCGGTTTATATGGCAGATGAGCTGCTACGAATCTCCTGTGCACGCCGCGTGACTCAGCTCTGCTGCTGTGGCTGGGGGCACGCCAAGCCCAGCCACCTTCTCCCACACGTGGCAGAGGGAAGGCCGCAGAAGGGTCCAAAGGGAGTAACAGCCAAACGAGGGCACAGTTTATTGAGAGGGCCTGGACCCCACACCTGGCAAGGCCAGTGGTGCCGTCTTGCAGCCTCCCATATCGGTCCCCAGCACCGTGTGGGGTCCTGAGAGGCCACGGGGACAGGAAGACATTTCTGCTCTTGGCTTCTTCCTCCACGATCTCATGCCAAGTGGCACAGGTTCTCAAAGGCAGGAGTGACTTTGCCACCTCTCTTGCTTCTAACCCAGAGAGACACATATTTAAAGAGGGCTGACACTCGGCCGACGGCAGGACAGTGTCAGATGGAAAACGAAATTCCTCTGCTTTGCTTGGGAGTAGGCACAGGCAGGGTCCGGAGAGTTCCGGGCGCTCATGTCGATGGGAGCCATCTGGCCTCTGAATGTGCCGCTTTTCACCTGTCCCTTCTGCTTGGTGGAAAAGCAGACGCCACGTCAGCTGCTTGTCTTTCCCACACTGTTCCTTCCTCTTCTGTCTTCCCCACTCCTACCGTCCCCCAGCTCTCAACACAATGGGGTTCAGGTCTTTCCCTCACAGTCCAGGGCCCGGGCTACGGGGACACCTCGGCCCTGCTGAGGAAAAGCACCCAGGCCCTCCCTGCACCCAGAGGCTGGGCCTGCAGCCTGGGCAGAACACCATTTCCCAGCTTTGGTTTGTTCAGAGCAGCAAGTTCTGGGGGGAGCACCAGAGAAGAAAATCAACTAGGAACCTTCCAGCTGCCCATCCAGCCTGAGACCAAAGAGGGAATCGTGAGGGCTTAGAGCAGGAACTGAAACCCCACTGTGGCCTTGGAAAAGAAAGCCCCGAAGAGCATGATATTCCCAGGATGGGACACACCCTTCGCCCACTACCTGAGTTCCAACTACCCTGTCGCAAGGCCTTGGACACAGAGGCACAACCTAATGCAAGTGGCCAAACATAGAGTGCACGAACACACACAAACAAGGGAGAAGCCCAGGAGGTGAGCTTGGAGGAAGCACTACGAATGAGACTCGGATGCGTGGCAAAGCCTCTCTGCATCAAATACCCTCCAGAGCTGCCCACCATCGGCCTACCCGCTGCCTCATGCCCCATGCAGCTGGGGCAGAAACATTATCTCAAAGGGGCACCCAGAGTCCGACTCGGGGCTGGCAGGTTCCTGGTTATTGTGCCGGTTTGCCTCTGGGTGTGCTCCAGCCCTCTAGGCCCTGCCGTGGGTAGGCTCAGCCATACTCCTCCTCACTCCCCAGGCCGGTGCTTCCTAACCTCGTCCGCATGGGGAATCACCAGGGGTGCTTTAAAAATGACTGCTGTCTTGGGTCCCAGCCCCAAGCTGCTCTGGGGTAGGACCTGGACATTTAGGTCTGAAAACTCCCCAGGTGATTCCAAGGAGAAGCCAATGCTGGGAGCCACTGTCTCAGACCATCTTCTTTCAAAGCCTACTACTCCATGGGAACGTATTAAAAATGCAGTTTTCTGGGTGCCCCTCCGCCCAGGTCTTTTGGATCAGCATCTCTGGGTGTGCCACCTGGGAATTAGCACTTGTAACAGGCTCTCCCGGTAAGCCCTGGGCACGCTCAGAGGATGCTGGGCATGCTCACCCCACGGGCGCCCTGGGGCTATGAATGGTTGTCATTGATTAGGTTCTATTTGGTTTGCCGAAGGCAACAGGTAATCTCACACCAGCCTAACAACAGGTTGACACTCAAGTAGGGCCAAAAGGCCACTTGCGGGGTGAAGAGCAGCAATCCTAAGAATCGCAGCTCTGCCTGGCCCACTGCCCTGGCTTCCCTGGGTCTCCAAAGGGCCCAGGCCCAGAGCAAGCCTCGAGCCTGGAAGGCAGTCCACAGCACGAGCCCGGCCTGAGGACCAAAGGAAGACCTTACACGGAAGAAGTGGCACCTGCAGATGCCCACCTAGTGAGGCGGACGAGGGCCCATAGAAGAGGAACTAGGAGAGAGGGTAGGACTAGGAGACATGGAAGGTCAGGGATGAGGTATGCTTTGATATTGCTCTAGGTGTTGTAAACATTTCTCTTTGTTTCATCACAGACCAAAATCTGGCTTGGCATGACCTAAGTGCCTGAACATAGGCATCAGAGCAGAGAGCTCTGTGCCTTTTGTGGGAAGCAGGACAGAAAGGGTGTGAGGACAGCTCCACCCCATGGGAAGACCATCTCTGTGGGGTACTGGCCTCATGCTCACAATGGTCACATACACACGCACACATGCAGACACTCCACGGGAGTACCATAAATATAGCTATCACATTCCTCTACACACAGACACACGCCCACATACCCTCCCATAGCGGCAAAATTCACGATACCCAAGCTTGGTCCTTCACACCTCCCCATCGTGGGAGAAAGTCACCCAGCGCCATGACACCACCATTTGCAGCCTTCATTCCACAAACGGTTGGCAAGAACTCCAGGCCTCAGGTGAGGCCACTGCCCAGCACTCTTGTGCAGACTTCTCCTGGGGATAGTGGAAGTGGTAAAAAGGCCCCTCTTAAACATTTCATTTTTCCGTAACTCTGTGCTGTTCCAATTTACATGCACTTCGTATTCGACAGTAGAGTTGGCAGCAGATGCACATTTCATATGTAAACAATGTTTAAAATACCCTGTTCAAGAATTTGATCATTAAATTAATTCTGGCAGCTTTAGCTAAGAATGGTTTTTTACCAGTGGGGGCAGGGGAATACTACCTGATCCAACTAGGAACACCCTTTTGAGGCTTCAGAGTTCTTGAACATGAGATTTCACAGGATGCTTCAGTGTGAGGGCTAGGAGGCATGTGTTCTCTCTCTCCTTGACGGTTCAGACAGACTCACCAACCCCCGCTTACAGATATAATGTGTTTTGGCAGGGCAATGGACCCTAACACCAGTGGGACTCAAGAGCCTCCTTGACCTTGTCTAGCTGCAGCCAAAGAAGGAAGAGATTCACAAAGTTACTGGACAGGAATGCAAACGCTGGAATCCCGTGTATCTAAAGAGGCCCATCACCCCACAAGGGGAGAATGCAGCCCAGTTCTCAATCACCTAAACTCCAGAGCTTGTGCCTAATCATAGCTCTTTCATTTAGTCAAGCTGAAAGTTTTGGAGATCTGCAGTGAATCCAAATCCATTGGCTGTGAATTATCCCAGTAGTACCTCCACCACATTCTCTATGATTTGGTCCACCTGGAGACCAGCCTCTTCCAGACTCCTCTTCCACTTTCTGGTCTCTCTGCTGAGGATTCACATCCCAGGCACTGCAAACTTGTGCCAAAGTCCACTTTTTCTCAGGCAGCTAGAGTGTTTTATGCTCATCCTCCAAGGAAGAGTTTCCTGACACAGTTCCAAAAGCAGCCTCAGGGTACCATGAAAGCATTTTAGGAAGATTCTCCACAGCCAGATGTTCACAGTGATCTTAGCCTCACCTCCTGTTCCATGTTCAATCCCAAAAGGTCAGAGATCAAGAAGGAAGTTGCTGAATAGCCAAGGTGGCCCTCATGAGAGAGACCTTTCTAAGAAAGCATGCTCCCAGGAAGCAAGCTGAAGAGTTACAGCCTAAGTTCCCATTCTCCCCCATCATAATTACATGACCTGCATGGAAGGGGGGACAGGGAGAGACAAGGAAAGTATTAGGCACCATGAGAGCTGTCCATGCTAGGGGAATTCATTCACCTCCCTTTGTCAAGCTGTCTGTCATTCTAAGAGATCAGTGATGTGTGATGCCACAGGGAGGTGAGGGCAGAGAATACAGTAAGCAACAGAAAGGATATATGGTGCCCCATTGCACAAAAGTCTACTGGTGCTATGTTCCCTGGTCATTTGACTTCTGGAATACTTCTTGGTAGAATCGAGGAAGCTTTGCAAGTGTATCTTTCTTAAAAGCAGCTCCACATCAGAAGTCATGAAAGACATCTCCCAAGACCCTTCCTGGAATTGCGAGGGTAAAAAAAGTCTTGTGAATTTCCTAGGCTAAGATGGGCAGTGATCAGAGTTTTTCATACTGGTCCAGTGGAAATGGAAGAAACAGCCAACCTCATGGAGTTTGCCCCTTCTCCCAGGGCCACCTGTTAATGACAGTGCTAGAAACCTGGGATTCCCCAGAGACCTCTCTCCTACATTGTGAGGTCCCAGCACGCAGGACTGGCCATTACATTGTGACAGCAAATCACAAATATAAGCCAGAGTCTTCTAGCTCTTCCTCACAGGGGTATAGTACAAGTTAGAGTCAGGAATCTTAACTGAGGAGGGTATGGAAGTGGTGGAAATTGCATTTGCATTATTTACACATTAGCCCAGCTAGCAAATCTGCCTTCTCAGTGGAGATGACCCAAGGCATTATGGAGGGCAAGTCGCTGACCCAGAAGAAGGGTAACAGCAGCAAGGTGCTACCACCAAGTGAAACACAAACATGGGTAAATGGAATAGAGTCCAAGCTCTGGTGACTGGATCTTACTTTGGAATGGCCTTTCATCCATTTCTCATTCCCAGGCTCCCAACCTAAACACCACTGCTTTTTGAACACCTATGACATTTCACGTTAGAATATGGTCTTGGCAGCAAAAGGGAGGGGAAAAGCCAGTGATCTCCAAGAGTCCCCATCTGAGGTCTAACTGAGCCTCCTCTGGCTTTGGGACAGCAAATCTAAGTACATTTTGGACCTCAGGAACCTGGGATAAGAGTCTTTCTCCATGAGGCTGTGTACTTTTCCCTGGGCTTGGTCAAAGCAAGTCAGGGATGGCTCCTGCATGTTCTTCCTCGTGGCTTCTCGGGTCTGGAAGTCTATGTTTACCTGGAGACACAAACAGAGAGCATGGTCACAGGCCCTCAAGGGCCAAGGTGCCTGGCAACTGCTCTAGCTATGTAATAATTATTAATGACAGTATCTTATATATGTCAGCCTATTCATGCTTTTCACACTGTTTTCCTGGAGGTCATCCCTTTTGATCCCAGCAAGAATCCGGTGAGCTCTGAAGACCAGATATACCTCACCCCAATTTACAGATAAGGACACTAAAGAAAGGAGATACTGGAAAGCTGGTCTAAAGTAGTATGGAAAGTTAGTAACAGAGTCAAGGCGAAACCCTAATCACTCAACTCCTAAGCCAGGGGTCTTCACCACATCAGGCAAAGGGTGAGACTGAAGGTAAGTGTTAATGTGGATTCCGTAAAGAAAGCTTGCCCTACCTACTAGGGAAACAATGTCCCCGGAAGAGAGACCATGGTTATAATGGACATCTCTGCTCCAAGCATTATAAGGAGCCTACAATGTCCTGGCCACTGGCCAAAGATCTCCGACATCCCAAGTCAAAGGATAATTGAAGAGTTCTAGGTATATAATGCACTTAAACTCATAGATAGCAAATATTTTTCTTCTATAAAACCATCCCAAGTAAAATTCTGCTTTATAACTCAGCATAGCAATTCATTTTATTATTGTAATGATACTAAGTTATAATAATATAAATGACTGTAATGACTCATTAAGAAGCAGTGACAGGGGGCGCCTGGGTGGCTCAGTCGTTAAGCATCTGCCTTCCGCTCAGGTCATGATCCCAGGGTCCTGGGATCGAGCCCCATGTTGGGCTTCCTGCTCAGCAGGAAGCCTGCTTCTCCCTCTCTCACTCCCCCTGCTTGTGTTCCCTCTTTCGCTGTGTCTCTCTCTGTCAAATAAATAAATAAAATCTTTAAAAAGAAGAAGAAGAAGAAGAAGCAGTGACAGATGTTGAATAGGTACTTTATCCCTAATACTCAAGAGTAGTCTTGAAAGGTAGGGGATATTATACACTTCTACACTGGGGAAAATGTGATTCAGAGAGACTAGCTGACTTGGCCAAGATCACACAGCTAGTAACAAGATTCCAAAGTGGATGCTCATCCCATTAAGCCATGCTGCCTTCCACTAGGAAAACTAACATGGATTCAATGGCATCTACCCTTGCAGAATCCCTATAGGAACACAGGTCCTGCAGGCGCATTTTTGACAGCTAAAACACTCCTAATAGAGCTCTTTTTTAGAAGCCCTGGGTTCTGCACCTTAAAAGTGATCCTTTTTTTTTTTTTTCATTAAGAGCCATCAGAGAGGTAAGGCTCGTTCAGAAGACAGTACCCATCAAGACTGGCTCGAACCCCCACAAGGAGAGTGATGTGAGCCAGGAGCCATGGATAGAGGTCTTACAAGACTCTCGCCACTGCCAACACACCTCCCTTGGAGCCTGCACATCCACAAACTCCTCAAAGATCCTATGGGCCTTGGAGACCAGCTTTGCAGTTGACCTGGTCTTCTTGAACTCCTCACACGCCAGCCAGAATTCCAGGTTCTCCTCGCTGAACTCCGTCTTCAAGAAGGCGCGGAATGCAGCCACCCCATCTGTGGATGTGGTGGGCGGGGGGAGGAAGAGAGAGAGGAAGAGGCTTAAGCTCATGAACTATAGAAGCAAGAGAGAAAGGCAGCAACAGTGTGAGACCAGCCCGGACTGTCCAACCCCCAGTGCCCCACATCCACTTGAAGACTCTCTCCCAAACACACAAGTACCCTCAGAGGCAAGCTCTGCTCCTACTCAAGGACTGTAGCAATGTGAGGGAGAAATGTTGAGGAAGCCATAGTAATAATGATTATGAGAAGCCCTGGTCACTCTTCATAGCCTTCAGGGGTCACTGCCTGTCCCCTAATGCACAGTCCGCTGTCCCCTGAGTCCACTGGTGAACCTGTGTTTCTAATTAGGCCAAAGTAATATTTGTAATGCATTCCCTACCCTAACCCAAGTTAACCGCCCTGAGATAACAGTCTGTTACAAGACAAACTACAGGAGGGTGTGAATGCCTCAGGGCAAATCCTTCACTACTACCAGAAGAACGTCTGAAAGTAAACACGGAAATTCAGTCACTAAAGCCATTCTATTACCTTCAGAGGGATTCCATCCTCTTCTAAAAAACTTTCGAGGCCCTGTGTTTTAATGGTTTAGCCTGTGGACACTTTATTTTAAAAGATCTTGCTTATCAAATTACATGGTTTAATTAAGATTAATTACAATTTTTCTCCCGAATGATTTAATTATGAACACACCTTTTCATTTTTTTTAAATCCATGTCATGCATATTGCCAGAGTTTCCAATCAGAATAAGATGAGCAGAGTTACCATGTAGATTTGGAAAACAACATCCACTGATAGCCTATACATTCAGTTAATGTTTTTATGTTAAGATAAATTTTATAAATTATCTTAACCCCCAAAACACTCTCCTCCACTCAAATTAGAGCTATATCTTTCTACAAACTGTCCTCAGGGAATGGGCAGACACAGCCTAGAATGAAGTGACTGCATTGGTTAAAAATGACTCTGGTCAGAATGTTTTCTTTCTTTTCTAAAACTTGTTAAAAGGAC